CACGAAGAAATGACTTTTGGAGGCTCGGAAGATGTTATTCGTAATCAGCTCGTTAAACTGAATCTGAATATGTATAATAAAGTCAAAAATAAATTCCACTGTAAGTTTGCATTAGCTGAACCTTATACCATATCGTAAAGTTTTAGATGGAAAATATGACTGTACAGATCTGACTGATGAAATTTATCCTGGATATTGTAGAGAACCAAATAATATTGAATGTCTATTTTTACGTGAAATTCATAAACCACAAGTTTTATTTTCTTTTCAAGAAATATGTAATGGAAATCAAGTTCATGGTCAACTCTTTCTTAAAAATAATGAAACAGATGAAACAGATTGTGAATATTGACCATGCATGACAAGATATACTCAATGTAATAACAAGTGGAACTGTTTAAATGGCGAAGATGAATTAAATTGTCCACACTCACTTGGATATAAAATAAGAAATAATATAGCAAACTGTAGTCATAATGAACATTATTGTGTTAAATTAAATCAAACTCAATTATTTTGTTTACCATTAGAAAAAGTGGGTGATGGTCGAATTGATTATCTTGGAGCTATTGATGAACGTACAAATTATTGTTCTCATATTACAAATTTGCTCTCATTTAAATGCTTAGATAGCGATGAATGTATAATACCACGTTTGATTTGTGATGGACATAAATGTTGTCCATTAGCAGATGATGAACACGTTTGTTCAGGGCAATATCCTTCGAGAGATTGTCAACGGGGCGAATTTGTTTGTAAAAATAAAACATGTATTAATAGATCATTACGATGTGATTTGAAATTTGATTGTCTTGAGGGAGAAGATGAATGGTTTTGTGATCTAACAGAAAAAAGATTGATTAAAATACCATCATTTGATGATTTTAATTAATATCCTTTAACATATAATAATAATAATCAGCATGAAATAATAATAAAAAATAATGTTAAACAGTGGCATCCGTATAAAGGAAATATGTCAGAAATGAATTTAATTTGGTACTGTAATCGAGGTATTTTGATAGAAACTCATAATATATCTGATTTTAAATGTTTTTGTCCACCAACTTATTATGGTGATCGTTGTCAATATCAAAGTGAACGTTTAACATTATATATGCAAATTCAAACATCATCATCTTCATTTAATCGTTCAAGTGTATTTCGATTTATTATTTATCTCTTTAATGATAGAAAAAATTCCATTATAATTGAAGAACAAATTGTTTGTAGTTCATATTATCAGTCATCATATCGTCATGTTATATATTTATTATATCCACGATCAAAATTAATTTATAAAACTAATTATTTTGTACAAATCAGTTCATATTTAATATCATATTCTAATGTAAAATTTATATCATCATGGTATTACAATGTATTATTTTCATTTTTACCTGTCAATAGACTTGCAATTAATTTAATATTAGATAATAAACTAATTAAACATAAATATTGTTCAAAACAACAAAATAAGTGTATACATGGTATATGTATAGTCTATTCAAATTCTCAAACACATTCGTATTGTTTATGTAATGAAAATTGGACAGGTTCTTTGTGTAATATACGATTGAATTGTTCAAAATTTAATTGTTCTGAAGGTTCTAAATGCAATAATAATGGAAAATGTATTTGTCAATCAGGAAAATTTGGTAATGAATGTTATGATACATTTGATCGGTGTAAAGGTATTATTTGTTATAATAAAGGAACATGTATACCATTAGATGTAAAAATATTCAGATACATTTGTTTATGTAATGGAAACTACTTTCGACCAATGTATGAAAATAGATTAGCAAAATTAAATCTAAATATAAGCCAAAATATTATTTTATATGATAAATCAGTTAATATTATATCTGCTGTTGTTATACATTTTCTATATTTACGTCAACATCATTCGGATGTAATGAGCCATCAACAACGATATTTATATCAAAATATCCCATAAATATTGTACTTAATATTCTAGATAATAATAAAAATAAATATTTACCTGCACTACTTATTCATGTTCAATTATATTTTAATAATTTAATTTATTCATATTATTTAGCTGCATTACTTAAACAAGATAATATCCAAATACTTAATACAACAATTTCATCATTAAATTATTGTCCAAATGTCAATGATTTATTAAATAAAACAATAGTTAAATATTCGCCATTAAAACGTGTTAAATATTATCATTATGTATGTAAGACAAATAATACTAATATAAAATGTTTTTATGATGAATCATATATGTGTTTATGTGATAATGATAAACTTCCTGATTGTTACATATTTAGTCATAGTATAAATAATTGTTATGAAGATAATTATTGTCAAAATCAAGCACAATGTATTCAAAATATACAATATGGTGAACATGATTTTGTTTGTGTATGTCAAGAATGTGGTTATGGTAATTTATGTCAATTTAAAATTATACAATATAGTCTTTCATTAGATTCATTAATTGGATCAAAGATCTTAATTGACGTTTCATTTGCAGAATAATCACTATTGATAAAAATAACAACAGCCGTTGTCATCTTAATGATCATTATTGGCCTAATGAGTAATATATTATCAATAATTACATTTAGTCAAAAGAAAAGTCGTCAAGTTGGATGTGGATATTATTTATTTTATTTATCTATCTTTAGTCAATTAGGATTATTTGTATTTGGTACAAAATATTTTCATTTATTAATCTCACAAATGATCATAATACAAAATCATTCCCTTATTCATATTAGTTGTCGTACTATTGAAATATTTACCAGTCATATTTTATTGGTTAACAGCTTGTATAGCTCTAGAACGAGCAGTTACGATTGTTAAAGGAGCCACAATGAATAAAAACTTAAGTATTAAAATGGCTAAGATACTAATTTTCTTGGCAATTATGATTTCATTAAGTTATATTTATGATCCATTTAATCGTCAATTAATTGAAGATCCACGTTTAGATGGACACGTATGACGTGTATTAAAATTTCAAATAAAATGGTTAGAAACATTTAATACAATTATAAACATGAGTCATTTAATAATACCATTTTTTATTAACTTCATATCAACAATTGTATTTTTTATTTACATTTACGAGACAAAAATCAACATTTTCAACTAAAAAAGCTTATAAAACATTATTGAAAAAACAATTTATTGCTTATAAACATTTATTAATAAGTTCAATTGTTCTTGTTTTTATTAAGTTTACCTGGTTTAATCCTATCATTGTCATTCTTATGTATCAAATATCCTTGGCAAACATATTTATATTTAACTGGTTTTCTTATTTCATTTACGCCATTAATGGGTACAACATTAATATTTATATTACCACCTTCGTCGTATACAGAAGAACTAACTTCAGCTATATCTCGCATGATAAAATGTCATTCTCGAGATGTTCATTCAAAAAACTAATCAAAACCAATTTAATCATTAAAGAAATTTCCATTCTGATACCATCACTAATGTGTTTTATTTCATTCAGATTGACAACCGAAGTAGTGCCAACAGCAATGGTACTGTAACTGCTTAAATATCTTACATTTTTGAATGAACTAACTTTTTCTAACATTTTTGGAATTCTATCTCAGCTCTTTTGTTGTAATATGCTATTAATAATAAAACGTTATTCTTCGAACAAGAGGGAGAGTCACGAGAGAGGGAGAGACACGAAACAAAATACAAAATAAAAACAATTCATTTTGAATATGTTTGATGCTTAAGTAATTAAATCGAATCAACATGTTTTACTTATGCCGGTATCACCATCATCAAGTAGACTATTTTAAAGTATAATTTGATCGATATAAAAAAGAGTTTTCTAAAACGGCACAATGAAAGGAAGCAAAAGAAATGTTTACCGTCAGTTATTAGAGCATTTATTGAAAATTCTTCTTCATCACGTACTCAATCGACTCAAATACAGAGACGTTCGTGTGTTGTTGTCACAAGTATCAAAATTCTTCTATGTATCAATTAACAGCCAAAGATGATCGACTATCAAAGAAACAAATTCAGGCATATTTTGTTAGTCTTGGAAAGAAAATATCCTATACTTTAGAAAGGATTTGCAGGCTACTAAATACGATCAAAAAGTTCTAGAAGGTGAATGGCCATGGAGGTCGCTATTCGATTTAGTTCTATCTCCTGATGACGAATATCTGATTAGTTTTACTAGAAAACATTTTCGAAGTCAAAAAGTCCCACTTTTCAACCTTTTTTGTCATAATTTGGGTGTCGTATCTCGACAGGAAAAACAATACGATCTAGCATTAGAACATTTTGATCGAAGTAATGAGATAAAACAGAAATACTTACCGAGCGATCATCCACATCAGGCTACTACTATCAACAATATCGGTTATATCTATCGCTGTCAAGGACTGTATCAACAATCATTGAAACAACATGAAAAAGCAGTGGAAATACGACTGAAATATTTACCTGAACAACATCCATCCTGATCCAACATACATCGCTTATACCTATGAGTGGATGGGACTATTATATCAAGATAAAAATGACCATGAACTAGCGTTGGACTGTTTTAGCAAAGCAGCAAATATATTAAAAAAGGTTTTACCATCGAATCATCAGAACTCAATTAAACTTCAAAAATTAATTGAAAATGTTAAAGCTAAAATATCAAATCTTAGTTAATTGATTTACTCTAAAGACAATAAATAAATTATTTCAAAATAGTACAATCCGTTATTTATTGAAAATTAAACAATACTTCTTTAAGAGAGTCCACCCTTACTATATGTGCCTTCAAACTTTGTCAGTTTAAAGAGGAGACCTGATTACATATATCCTTAAGTTCGTTCGATGAACTGATAACTATTCACAGAGTTATTAATTAATTAAGTTTAAATTTTAATTAAAATTTAAAGTCCTAGTCCCCATTTTAAAAAACTTGTAACTCAGTCAAAAAAACCCGTAGAAAAGTCATTTGTGCATTGATTGATAGATAATGGTCTGTTGTTATGGTCTGACGAAAAACGTTTGAAAAAATGTTTTTTTAAGACAATAATTTATAAGTGCACTTTTTTCCAATATAAAAAGTTCAGGAGAAAAATAAAACGAAGAATAATCAACACGATGAAAAGGACCAACTTTCTAAGCAGAAAGAACGTTTTGTTCACTACTTTCATTGAGTTGGATGATAAAAAGAAGATAATACGCAATTTGTAACCATTGAAAAGCTTATCACCCAGTATTAGATGCACAATGCAAAATCAATCTTTGAGCCTTACATCCACTTTCTCCTCTTTGAGGCTTTGCAAAATCCAGCTATTTGAATGTGCAGATTCGGAGCTCCTGGAAAACGCTACATAGCGAGGCCAAAATAGCACCTGTTTATCTCGGTCTTTTTTGATTTTGGTGAGAAATTATACCTGTGGCAGATTCAGCTGCGAAAGTTACGTTAAGGCCCCCTCCCCCTCAAAAAAGTCAGTTTTCGTCAAAAATTTCGAAATCGAGATAAATGCATGGGGAGATAGCCCGTCTTCTGCTCTCTCAGAAACACTATTGGTTTTTTCTTCGGCTCCCATTTTTGA